TTTTCCAGGAGAATCGGCATTTTAAATAGACTGAGATACTACGTATCATCAAATGTCAAGCTGTAAATTTACTACGCACTAGTACATTCACGACTAACAAACTGCTCCTTGGTGTGGCTAACAACGACCACCACAAACCTTAATTCTCTGTTGATATTACAAAAGCGTGCTATACGTGCTATATCTAACACTCCCCTTTACGAAAGTGCTCGACCATATTTTAAAATGTACAAAGTATTGCCTATGAAACTGTTATACAGACATAAGCTATGTCTAGAGATATTACACCAGTATAAACTAAATACATCACTATTCTTGGACACATATTATGTGAAACAAACACCATACGAGCTGAGAAAGAGCCCAATATACAAATATAGATCACGCACGAACTACGGTGACCAACGATTAGCGTCACAAATTCCAAATATTCTAAAACACCCAACTATATTACATTTACTGGAAGACGGAATTTCAGCTAGATCATTAAAAAAAAATAACGAAAGAGTTCCTAGTGGATGAAAGCGATGCTTTTCTTGATTTTTGAAATTTGTAGTTAATGATGTTTTTGTATTCGTTGCACCTTGTTCATTATTGTCCCTTTGCCTGTTGTTTATTATACTCTAATTTGTCTTGTAGAGCAACTCGATTTCCTAGTCAAGATGTCTCTAGTTAATTTATTTGATAGAAAACATGCTGTTGTTTGTATTTGCCACCACTCGAATAAGGAATGTTTATATTTCTATTCTTTTATTCACACTTCTGGCAGTTCCTGTTTGACTATGGTACCCGTGTAAGATAACACGTGATGTTGTAATTTTCTGAATACTGTACTTGCGGTATGTTTCTGCTTTGCTGCCAGGGTGGCACGACCGAGTCAGGCTTTTACTTAGCCTTTAGTCGTGTCCCCCAAGGCAATCTTGTTCGATTTTGCCTTGAATAAAGCAAACCAAACCAAAAAGGTGACTGTTGGGCGGTAAAGAGCTATGTTATTTATTTTAAAAGATGGAAAGTCACTTCGTTCAATAAATGTGCACAGAAATTTTATATCGCAGAATATACGGCTGCCATAAGCCAAGACAATCTGCTTAGCCAGTAGCCATGGCTGATATAATGAATACAACTAGCATGACGTGCGTGGCTTATTTAGGTTTCCTAAAATGCGAAGAAGCAGATGCGCACATGGTACAGTTGGCAGTGCAACAGCACACTTATTTCCGCATTTGTTCGCTTTAAAACACGGTCTTGTGCACGTCCATGTGGGTAAACAGTTCGCAACGGAACTGCCGTAGCCTTACAAAAGCAAACTTCTCGCCTGGGTTCGTTCCCGCTCATGCAGCTGATGCCATCACTGCAGGTACATGCATACACATGCGCAGGGACAACTGCCATGGCTACCATCATGGCTGACAGTGCCGGCAGCCAGACACCACTGAGATGGAGAGCAAGGACATTTTATGACACAATTCCGTACACCTGTTCTGGTTAAAATGATAGATACCCTAAAAAACAACATCAATAGCCTGTTTGCTTGAATGCGGGTCATTGCTGAATGCCACCTTTTAAGTAGTCTCTGGGTAGAAGGTATTGCTTCTGTTCGACTGCAACAGTGAATGCGTTTCTGGAATTCATTCGATCGCTTAAATCATATGATTCTATTGACATTACATATCTTTGTGTAGTAGCTGCATAATGTCATTAGATACGAATATCAGTACATTAATCATCATCATCATCATCAGGCAGCTGACTACGTCCACTGCAGCTGCAGGACAAAGGCCTCTCCCATGTTCCGCCAGTTAACTCGGTCCTGTGCTTGCTTCTGCCAATTTATACTCGCAAACTTCTTAGTATCATCTGCCCACCTAACCTTCTGTCTCCCCCTAACCCGCTTGCCTTCTCTGGGAATCCAGCTAGTTACCCTTAATGACCAGCGGTTATCCTGTCTACGCGCTACATGTGCGGTCCATGTCCATTTCCTCTTCTTGATTTCAGCTATGATATCCTTAACCCCGTTTTTTCCCTAAATCACTCTGCTCTCTTTTTGTCTCATAAAGTTACACCTAGCATTTTTCTTTCTATTGCTCGCTGCATCGTCCTCAATTTAAGCTGAAACCCTCCTTGTAAGTCTCCACGTTTCTGCTCCGTAGCTAAGTACCGGCAAGATACAGCTGTTATATACCTTCCTCTTCAGGGATAGTGGCAATCTGCCTATCATAATTTGAAAGTGCTTGCCAAATGTGCTTTACCCCAATCTTACTCTTCTAGTTACTTCATTCTCGTGGTTCGGCACCACGGTTATTACCTGCCATAAGTTGACATAGTCTTTTACAACTTGAAGTGCACTATTACCTATCGCGAAGCGCTGCTCTCTTCCAAAGTTGTTGTACATTACTTTCGTTTTCTGTAGATTAATTTTAAGACCCACTTTTCTGCTCTCCTTGTCTAACTCTGTAATCATGAGTTGCAATTTGTCCCCTGAGTTATTTAGTAATGCAATGTCATCGGCGAAGCGCAGGTTACTAAGGTACTCTCCAATAACTCTTATCCCTAACTGTTCCCATTCTAAGCCTCAGAAAACCTAGCTCCTGTAAGCACGTGGTAAATAGCATTGGGGAGATTGTGTCCCCCTGCCTTACACCCTTCTTGATTGATATTCTGTTGCTTTCTTTATGAAGCATTATGGTAGCAGTTGATCCCCTGTAGATTTCTTCCAGGATGTTTATATATGCTTCATCGACGCCCTGATTCCGCAGTGTCTGCATGACTGCTAATATTTCGACTGAATCAAACGCCTTCTCGTAACCAATGAAGGCTATGTATAGTGGTTGGCTGTATTCTGAGCATTTCTCTATTACCCGATTGATAGTATGAATGCGGTCGATGGTTGAGTAGCCTGTTCTAAACCCTGCTTGTTACTTTGGCTGATTGAATTCTAATATTTTCTTAACTCTGTTAGCAATTACCTTTGTAAATAGCTCGTATACTATGGAGAGCAAGCTGATCGGCCTGTAATTCTTCAAGTCCTTGTGATTTCCTTTCTTATGTATTAAGATGATGTTAGCATTCTTCCAAGCCTCTGGTACTCTTCCCGTCAAGAGACACCTCGTAAACAGGGTTGCTAGTTTTTCTAACACGATCTGTCCTCCATCTTTCAGCAGATCTGATGTTACCCGATCCTCACGAGCAGCTTTTTCTCTTTGCATGCTCTGCAAGGCTTTTCTGACTTCTTCTATCATTACTGGTGATGTGTCATCTGGGTTACTCCTAGTTCTTATAGTATTAAGGTTGTGGTGGTCCTGGCTACTGTACAGATCTCTGTAAAAATTCTCTGCTATTTTAACTATCGTATTCATATTGGCAGTTATTTTGCCTTCTTTGTCTCTTGGTGCATACATCCGATTTTTGCCTATCCCAAGTTTCCTCTTCACTGCTTTAACGCTTCCTCCGTTTTTCAGAGCTAGTTCAATTCTCTCCAGGTTATACTTCTTTACATCGGATACCTTACGCTTATTAATCAACTTCGAAAGCTCTGCCAGTTCTATTTTGTCTGTTGTACTTGGGACTTTCATGCTTTAACACTTCTTAATGAGATTTTTCGTTTCCTGGGAAAGCTTGCCAGTGTCCCGTCTAACTACCGTGCCTTCAACTTCCACTGCACACTCCGTAATCATACTTGTCAGATTATTATTCATTGCATCTACGCTAAGGTTGCTTTCTTCAATAAAAGCCGAGTACCTGTTCTGAAGCGAGACTCTGCATTCCTGTACTTTTCCTCCCAGTGCTAGCTCATTGATTGGCTTCTTGCGTATCAGTTTCTGCTGTTCCTTCTTCAAGTCTAGGCGAATTCGAAACCGTATCATTTTATAGTCACTGCATCGTACCTTTCCAACCACTTCCACATCCTGCACGATGCCTGGGTGTGCACTCATTATAAAGTCTATTTCGTTCTTATTTTTGTCATTAGGGCTCCTCCATGTCCACTTACAGTTTCCTCGTTTTTGGTAGAAGGAATTCAATATCCGTAAATTATTGTGTTCTGCGAATTCTACTAGTAGCTCTCCTCTGGCATTTCTAGTACCGATACCATAATCTCCTACTGCCGAGTCTCCAGCCTGCTTCTTCCCTACCTTTGCATTAAAGTCTCCCATCAGTATAGTATACTGTGTTTTTACCTTACTCATTGCCAAATCCACGTCTTCATAGAAGCTTTCATCAGTACATTCATATGACATTAAAAGGTACATTGTGACAGAGGTATTATACATGTGTGTTTTGACCAAAAAGCTTACGTTTGCAGTCAGTCCTCTTTTGAGTCCATTTTCTGTGCCTCTGCTTGTATTTTTTTGTGCTGCTATTCACAATAAACATTATACAGCTTTTTTTTAAATGATGAATTTGGCAGACCTGAAGGATAGTGCCGTTTCAGAAAGATTACTTGATCAAAATTGCTACTACCAAGGAGTGGTGGCAAGGCAAAATATACCTTGTGCATGCACAGTGCCACAAGATTGTATTGCTTTATGACTGTAAGTGGTTTCAAAAGAAATGGACTTATTGCTCTTCTTTTGTTGACTCTGTAAAGCAGTGTTTTGATGTGCTTATAATGCTCATTTCAATAATAATTAAGTTATTTTAACCTGTTTGAGAAACCACCACTACAAAGTGATGGTTTGCGGACAATGGAACATCAGAAACTGTACTGCCCCCCTTGTCTATCAGTTAAGTTGGGAATGAGTCATCAGTTGGTCTATCAAGTTTTTGTGCTATGTTTAGATGTTTGGAATTATTATACATGAATAAAACACACTTAAAAGAGTGAGGTGCTACAAATATTATTGTAGCTGATTGCAGGGTACTCCTGGTGCTCCTATCGAATATAGTTTTATAAAGTGGATCAATGCTGGATGAGCATCAGCTGCCAACAATTTAGTCATGGCATTTTTATATCACTGCAAGAATTATAAAAATACACACAAGTAAAAAAAAAGAAAGGATACAGTGTTCCTGGAGCAGTGCACCATGCTCTAAACAGGCATCAAGGAAGAGGGCAGCCCTTTCAACCATTCGTGCAGCATGGAGTGTCTGGAGACAACGAGTGAACTGGCCCACACTCAGCAACACCAGCACCGCTTTGCCCTGTTGCAAAATTATAGATGCCACGTTGACAAGCTGAAAGGGCCCTATCATTGACTCTTTTTACCTTCTGATTCAGCTGGATCAGATGTTCTGCCCACTTGCTAATCACCTCGCAGTTGGCGGTATCACTGAGAGTGCACTGCAAAAGAATATGGCATTGAACACACCTAATGACACTCACAAATTCTGCAGTTTACTTCTAGGAGAATGTTTTTTGTCACAAGTAAGTTACTTTCAATTGAGTGTTACTAATGTAAATGCAAGTAACAAATTAGGGGTATGCGGATATTCCAAATTTCAAATATATTTTGAATAGGGCTTGCTATTCAATTCGATTCGCTTCAGAATTTTACTATTTGAACGATTTGGACTTCCTGAAGATGAATACAGCCAACGTCCGATTGGCAATGGCCCCTTCAGATTTTTAATATGCACTCCGCCATCATATTGCAGCAAAGCTGCCTTTCAGGCTCTACTACAATAACAAATCTTTTGACTCCAGAAAATGCTGGTTCCAACATAGATATGAAAATGTGGCAGAGGTGCGGGCTCAAATAATGCTCTTTTGGACCTGCAATTTGGGCAAAAAGTCTGAAAACCAAACACCACCAAAGATTTTTTGCATGCAACATTTTATATTTTCTTACATTTTGACATCAATGAGGCATATTCGCAACTCTGGGCTCGAAGATTCACACCCTTGTTTAGCACATTCATTGAAACAATAATAGTAATTAGGAGCTTAGATCTCAAACCCACGATATGATTACGAAAGATCTCGTAATGAACGACTCTAAAAATTTTGACGCTCTGGTGTTCTTTAACATGCACTGAAATCGCATAGTACATGGGCCTCTACCATTTCATTTCCATCAAAATACGGTCAGGTCAGTGATTGAACCTACGACTTTGAGGTCAGCAGCCAAGCACCACTGCCACCGTAGCCACTGATCCATTATGGTGGACTGGCAATATCAGTTGAATTACAACAGAAGTTGAAAGATGATAATAATATAATAATAATTGCTAGGATTTAGCATCCCGAAACCACCATATAAATATGAGAGACAATGTAGTGGAGGGCTCTGGAACATTCAACCATCTGGGGTTCTTTAACGTGTACCTAAATCTACGCACACGGACCTAAAGCATTTTCACCTCTATCTGAAGCTGAAAGAGGAGGAGAGGCTGAAGAAATATCATCTTTGTCTATCATTTGTAAAGTGTTGTCGGCAACCCCTTTCTTGCACCAAATCCTGTATATATAAATACAATTTAGCCTCTGCTTAAGACAACAATGAAACACCACACCGCCACCACTTCATCAACTTAGCCAAAGGAAACGCTTTGATGTTGCCATCTCACAAGAATATGCTTAGAAATCCTCTCCAACTTTTATTGCGAAGCAATTATATGGACACTCGCGGCTGGATTTTGTCACCGGTATCGGTGTCGATGTCATGCATCGTATATGTATATGTATTTATATATATGAAAGCGCCAGAAAGAAAAAAAAATCCAGAAAGAAAGCTCGGGCGTGCAGAATCGAATGTGGGACCTCCGCCTCATGAATGCGAGGAGTTAATCACTGAGTCACCGAGGGGTACATCCTTCTACGTTCAAACAGCAAACTATTTATATCTACCATTTACCACCCTTGGCGGGCATCTCAAGGGGCAGGGGGTTTTCAGCACTATCAGGAAGATGGCACAATGAGTGCGCGGCAGCTTTCCTCTCTCACGCGTACTTTGGCTGTGGAGAGGAGGAGAGTCGACAATCTTCCGCAAGCCCTTATATCCCGGTGGCGAGGATCATACGTCTTGGTTGGCGTTGGGCTTGCACTGAAACGATTCGGTTGTAGTTACGGGGTGCACTAAGGTCACTGAAATTATTGCACAGCCTCTGGGAAAAAGGCACACTTTTCGGACACAGCGAAGTAACAACTGAGACGCTCATTCGCGTTCATCTGTACCTGTGAGTATGTTTTGTGAGTCATTTGCGTGTGAGAAACGCAGGGCACGTTTCGATCTGCTTGCCATTCTGCGCATGACCTTCCAACTTCTTGCTATCGCGTTCATTTCTTCGCTTTTGTGGCAAAGCTGTGATTTTCTTCTTTACAATTTTGCTTTACACTCAAAATTTTGGTCAAGAATACACCCAAAATTTGTTCAAGAATATTGTTTTGTGAAGCAATATTCATGATCATTCGAAAAGACATGCCTTTCCCACAAAGCCCACAATACACGGAAAAATACATCACCTCAAAAATCTGAACATGAGAATGTTCTTATTGTGCAGAAAGCATTTGTTTCTACTGTTCACAGCAATCCCCAGTCCAAACTTTAGGATAATGAACCAATGGCTGCCAACAGAGTCATAGGTTTCTGATTAGCCTGGGGAAGAGAGCGGAGGTCAAGCTGGACCGCATTGAGAGTGGAGTGTGCAAAAAAAAAAAAAAAAAAAAAAAACTGGCTCTGTAGTTACTGCAATTTAGAATTCATTTGTGCAAGGTTCATTTTAGTGCATATTACATGTCTAAAACAAGATGCAGGCACTAATTTAAGGGCCCCTAAATCACTGAGAGGTCAAAATTTAGTTGTGGTGTTGCAGTTGTGCAAGTCTACAATGAGCATGTAACGGAAAAAAATTTTCGTAACAATGCTGTAATAGTGGAGTTTGAGGGTATGAGCAACCATCGCTTGTTCCACTTTGTCCTTTGCTGTGATCTGTTAATCGGCTCGTCCTGGCCAAGTCTTTCTCTCTACGATGCGAGGAGGAGGAGTAGCAAGCGTGCATATTTGTGAGTAGACAAACAGCTGTTAAGGATGACGGGCAGATGGCATGATGACATTACGGCGAGCATTGAGGAGATGAGATATGCCAAAAAGCCTGAAGAGTATTGTTTGTTGAAAATGGTAGTACAGTCGATCCCGGATATATCAAACTCCAAGGGGATCGTAAAGTTCGATATATTGATGATTCGAAACATAAAATATGCCTACCTGAAGCTTACCTGAATACTCCGCACATCACTGAGAGCTTTCGGAGATCGTGACAAGCGGTTTGTAACTGACTTGTTCTCCAAAGCACGGAAAATACGAAACACAGCGCAACTACCATGGCCCTTTATTTGGCATGAAAAAAGTCCGTGAGCTTGGACTGCTTCTTCTTTTGCGCCATGAAGTTCATTAAACTGTCTTCAAGTTTGCTGACGCTGTCCAAATGCGAAAGTCCGGCGCCTTCCATTGCGCCGCAACAGCGGCGAATCACGCTGAACGCCGACGCAAGCTCAGCTGCAGTAGGCGGGTGGATATCTTCATCGGAGTCGCTTGTTGCCGCTTCTTCGGCGGCGGCAATTGCCATGTCCGCCACGATCTCCGCATCGTTAAGATCCGCCACAGCCTGTGCGTCATCGTCAGCACTTAAAAAATCGCGCGCTGTTGCGCCATCTTGGATGGCACCAGGGAATGCCGCCAGCACCTAAAATTCACCGTCGAAGCACTCAACGCCGTCGTCTTCGGTATCCAAACACGCCTCGTCAGGAGTCGCCACACAGCCCGCTTTGCGGAAGCAATTTATGACTGTGGTTTGTTTCACGTCATTCCAAGCGCCTGTCAGAATCTGTGTAGCTCCAAGAAGGTCAACTTTGAGTTCGATTCCCAAACGAAAGTTCGTTAGGGGCCTCTGCACCAGTCCTCGCCTATACCCAACCTTGAAGGCTTTGATAATGCCTTGGTCGAGAGGCTGCAGCTTCGCCGTAGTGTAGGCCGGCAAAAATTTCACGGTGATGTTTTTCAGTGAAATGGTGACGTGGTGGGCCGAACAATTTTCGACAAGGAGACAGATTTGGTGGCTGGACTTCTCTAGCTCGGTATCCCATGCCCGGAGCCACTCCGTGAACAGATCGCGTGTCATCCACGCTTTTTTCTTGGATGCGTAGCGCACCGAGAGACCTCTTGCATTCTTGAAGCAGCGTGGCGATCTGCTCTTGCCGATAACGAACGGCTGAAGTTTGCACGAGCCGTCCATATTTGCAGCGAGCAAAATGTAGATGCGCACCTTGCTCATTTTTTCGCCATGACATTTGCCGCCCTTGAAGTTCAACGTCTTGCTTGGCAGCATCTGCCAAAACAGGGCAGTTTTGTCGGCATTAAATATTTGCGACGGCCAGACATTTGCGAAATTGCAAATGTCTGGCCATTCATCGGACAGCCACTTCTCAATGCTGTTGCTGCTGCTGGTTGCCCCGCTTTCAGCCGAGAGGGTCTTCCCGACGATGCCGTAGCGATATTTAAAGCGTTACTTCCATCCTGTGCCACCAGTGAAGTTGTGTTCACCTAGCGCAGTTGCAAACCACTTTGCCTTTTCCATGAGCATTGGGCCATCAACAGGAATGTTTTTTGCCCAAGTCTCCAAGAATCAGGTGTACAGGGCTTTCTCAACCTTATCGTATTCCGGTGCACGCACACGACACGCTCCAGAACGGCCGCACTGCGCTGCCTTCGCCTTCACATCAGCTTTGTGGCGCATTATTGTGCTTAAGGTGCTCCGAAGAATTCCGAATTCCTTGGCAACTGACGACTTCTTTTCGCCAGCTTCCACCCGTTGAATGATATCTGCCTTCGTTGAGAAATATAACTTCTTACGTTTTTTTGCGTCCATGGCTCCGAAATGCGTGACCCGGCGCCGCAAAAACAAAACAAATACGCACCACACTTCACGAGTTTGCCGACGGAGCAACCACTGCCACTGGCCAAGCGACGAGAGCGGACCACTCCGCCTCTCAAGCAAACAGGCTCAAGCGCGCAGAAACTGAATTTTCCTTCCTCCTCAACTGTCTCTCGCCCGCGTTCTTTATCACGCGGCTGAGGCGTCCAAGGTCACTCTAGCGACGCGACGGAGTCTCTCTCTCACCGAGCGTGGGAGCGCGCACGAGAACTCGTCGCCGGAACCTTCCCAAGAGGAGCGGCGAAGCGCACTTGCAGGGGCGCTTGACGCGCAGGAGTGTTTGAAATATCGCATGTGGCGGTGACTGGGACTTCGATACACGCGTACAACACACGCGCTATACTTTTGCATGGGATTTCCAAGGGGATGTTTAGACTGTTCAATATATACAATAATTCGATATATCCAGGT